AAATATCAAATTTAAAATGATAGGGACCATTTTAGCAATGAATGTAAACGTTAGGGACCATTTTTGCTAATTACCCCTTATTTTTAACCACCAATTTTTCAATAAAATAATATTACACACAAGCTTAAAATTTTTCCTTATTTTTTAACCACATATTTTCTATCAAAATACTATTCCATAATACATTTGTTGAGAAAATATACAAGTTATTGCTAATTGTATGCATGAGAGAATTGAGAGTGAATTGGAGAGAAGTGAATGCTAGTAGCAGTAGAGTGCTCATTGGGTGAGGATAGTCCCATTGTGTAAATAAAATATAAGTGAGTGGTGTTTTATATATATTATATAATCAAATTGTACAAGTGGTTTGTTAATAAAAGAGAATTTCTTTGTGCTAAACTCTACAATTTGGTATTAGAGCAAGGTGGTTGAGGCCTTGAGGGAAGGTTTTTTGGAGCTTCTGAAGATTGTGAAGCTTCGATAAAGCTTGATTGGCAACGACGAGGTTATCTGAGTAACAATAAGCGACCTACAAGTGGTAGGTGGAATTAAGAAGCTCAACAATAAAAATACACCACATGGTCTCCAAGGCAAGACTTATGGGATGTAGTTGGCAGCAGTGACATGACACTGCCAAAGGACTTTGACGCTATGAAGAAATAGAAAATTGAATTAGTTAAGGGTTTCTTTGCTATGAAGACCTCTGATGCTCGGACTTTTCGAAATAGTTGGAGTACTCGTGTCGGACAAGACACACATGGATATGAGTATGGGATATGCATCAGATCCTGTAAGTTTCAATCAGACATTTCGTCGTATTTGCTTCTTCTTCCTTCTTTTTCTTCTTCCTCCTTATTTTTCTTCTTCGTCGTCGATAGAGTAGAGAAAGGAGGGGGCGCTAGGTTTTACCTTCTTTTTCTTCTTCCTTTTTTCTTTCCATTATCTTCTTTTTTTCTCCTTCTTTCTCTCTCGGTTTAGGGTTTTGTTTGTATAAAATAAAATTGAGTTCCATGTAGTGCTACTTAATGCTTCACTAAGCCCAAATTACAATCAAGTTCCTCATTTTCTATTTTATATAATATTTAGTAATTTTTATAATTGAAAACTAAACCCTAAAATTATATTTTATTCGTCTTAACCCCTTATTAAATACTCATTTCCTTCATTATGCATAATTAATTTTGGTCTATTTAAAATGACATCCTATATCAGTAAAAAAATTGAAGTTTGAAAGATGTACCCACGTATCCGTGTCTGAAATTTGAACTTTTTATAGCCATGTCCCCTTATCTTACATTTTAGAATATAAAAGATCTGACACTTAGATACGTACCCGTACCCGAATTTGAGCATCATAGATGAAGACAACAATGTTGTCGAGGAAGAGTTATTGGAATACATAAAAAGACAAACACACATCAAAGAAAGCATGAGACACATTTGCAACACTTTCTTCAAAAACTCTTGAGGTTATAAGACGAGCTAAACCAAAGAGTCGGTGCTAAAGGGGAGAGTAGAAGATGCAGCACCAACGTGAAAGTTCTAGAACCTATTGGGTCTTCCTCCATTCATCTTTCTTGTTTTATAAGTTTGATTATTTCTAGATTTTTCTTGTTGAAGACGAACAGAATCCGGAACATTCCAAGTAGGTGATTTTGTATTGCTATATAGATTTCTCTACAAGGCAAAGTCGGTTATGTCACCGACTTATTGTATGCATGATAGAGTTGAGAGTGAATTGGAGAGATAAGCGAGTTCTAGTGGCAGTAGAGTGCTCATTGGTTGAGGATTGGACCCATTATGTAAATAATATATTGGTGAGTGGTGTTTTATGTATATGCTATAAAATCAAATTGTACAAGCAGGTTGTTAAGAAAAGATAATTTCTTTGTGCTAAACTCCACAGGCTAACTCTCACTTCTTGACCCCTCATTTGTTTAAGTGCTGTGCTAACAATTATATTTGCCATTACCGGTAGTATTAATGCTATATGGAGTTTCAACATTGTAAATTTATATGCTTAGTTCCTCATTTCTTTTGAAGCATAAATCTTAATAGTAAATGTTGTAGTTTTTATAGCCTTAGCACCTCTGCCAGGGTGGAAAACTCCTACTTTAGACATTGTTAGGGCTTGGATTTAGAGAAGTAAATGGGAAGAGAAAAAAAAGGAGAATGGACTCTGTTTCAGTCAGATGTCTACTCTTGTCAAAATAGATACAAATTCAATTTACCATCAAAACAGTATTGGTTGGTTGTGTTTCCAAACTTGTTCCCATGTAAATGTGATGTCGTTCGCATTTCTTTCTTTTTTTCTTTCAGCTCTCCGTTTCCTTGAAAAGAAATTTGGAGATTCTAGATCTTGTCACCTAATATATCAGTGTTCCCTCTGTGTCACATTGTAGATGAAATTTATACATTGGTATGGCCTGATGCTAATGAATCATATTAGCTCACTTGGTCTGGCTGGCGCCTGGCGGGAAAGGTGCATCTAGAAATCATAAAAGAGTAAAGCACGCTCATATCTGTTACATTTTGCTACTTCAAAAGATTGTAGTTTTACGTTTGGAGGAATAAGAGGGCAGAGATGGAATTGTTTCTTGGTTCCGTAAATTGACATTGCACATGGATGTTGGAAAAGGGCATGCTTTCATACACAAGTGCATATGCTGTTTACTTGTATCACAGTTTTAAGATTGTGGTTTGTAAAGAGATCTTGGCGACCTTTTGGTAGAATCTTTTGGCCTTTTAAGGAGTCGTATTTAACTTGGTCTTATTTTTGGTTTCTTCCTATGATAGCATTTCCGATTCGTCAAGCCTAAAACCTTGTATCTTCTTTGCCTATTCCCAAAGTGAGTCGATGAGAATTTTAGTGCTTCGCGGGGCACACTTGAAGCATATTAAATAAGTCTAGAAAATTACGTTTTTCGCATGGTTTAAAAAAATCCCAATTGAAGCCGCTGTAATGGGCAGTAGTGGGCTATTTCCAAAGTGGTCAATCAAAATTTTAGTATTTTGTGGGGCACTCTTGAACCATAATAAGTAAGTTTGGAAAATTAAGGAGCGCACAGTCACACACCTCAAAAGACTTTCTCATTATGAACGTCTTGAGGTATTTATTTCCTTGTATTTCTCATAGACTCAATCTGGGGATAGTTCACTGTCCCACCAACTAAAGTAATAGTTTCTCTGTGTTATAAAGTTTTCTTTTATTTATTTGCACACTTTAAATTGTTCTATCATGAAATTTGAAATTATTTCTGACTTATTATTGTGCTTATTTAGCATTTTAATAGTTTTTTTTTTTGACATTTTTTTGGTTTATAGTGAGACCTTGGAGGCGGGCCTTATGAAGAAACAACACCTTAGCAATTATGTCTTTTCTATCATTGGTTATTTGTGGCTCTGGCACCCCCCACTCCACCCTGTGACAAGTATCTTATTTATCTATCTCAAAATGCTAAATCCTGGCATTAAATATTTCAACAGATGCCAGTCTATAGCACCATTAAAGAAATGAGTCTACTTTAAGGAGATTTTAATTTCTGTTTAATTAAGTACCTTGCGTATGGACTTATAAGATCATTCTTTGTGAAACTCACAGTTGAATGGAGTTGTTGAAACATATTTTGTCGAGGTGATTAATGTGTTTCGTAATTTAGCTCTTTATGCATAGAGTTCGTCAGACTTTCTGGCTATAATTTCTTCCTCGGAATATATTGCAGTGTTTGGTGCTTATGAATCACTACTAATTATTGAATATTCTGGCAGAACAACCCGGTGTGCTTCAGGTCGTGCCCAGCCAAACTGTCCACCTCCATTCTGGACCCGGAAAGACTCAAGTGTGAGAGATTATTATTTTACAGATATCACTTGACTATGTTGCTTTGCACTGTGTACGAGGATTGAATAAGATGATTATGATGAAAAGTTAAACATCATTTGTATAATATTTCGATATTAAGAAACTGAAGTTTCATTCCAAAACTACATGTTTCTCTTTTCCCTACTACATATAAAAGAGGCAGTTTTGCCACGTCATCGTCAACCAATACGACGTCGTTTCTTGTGCGTGTTTTCCTTCCATTTTCCACTCCCGCTTCTAAAACGCAAGAACAAATCCTAAACCCTATGTTTACTCTCTCCAAAATCCAATTCAATTCCCACCCCTAAACCGCAATCACAAACCGACTGCTGCTCTCGAACCCTATTTCAGTTGCCATAGAATCCTTCTCTTCCACCTATCCCCGTCGCCTGCCAACAATTGTTCATCCATTTGTCAACTCGCTTAGGGTTTGAGCATATCCTCTCTCTCTCTCAATTTCCCCCTGACTTCCGAATATCTCTGAAAATCTCTCCCGTATGAACACCAGGTAAATCTTTAATT